AATTAAATATAGTGAATTACAAATATTATTATTTCTCTGAAGAATAAAAGAGATACAAAATCTGTATAATAATATAACAAATGGTTTTATATAGTTTAGTAACAATATTTTTGAAATATCCTTAATTAGTCAAATATAACCACCCAAAAACAAAGGACTGCATCCAATCTTCTTTCCATATATTTTAGTAACAATATAATGTTAAAAATCTTTCTTTCCAACATTATTTAGTCAAATAATGGTTCCATATATATATATATTTTATTAACAATATTTTTTTAAACATAATTAATTAGTCAAATATAATCCTATTTAGTTACAATAAATACATTATCTTTCCAAATAAACATCCTTAATTAGTCAAATACATTATAAATACCCACATAATACAATGTTTCTCAACACAATTAAAAAAAAAAAAATATGGCAAAACCCAAATTCTTGTTCCTTTTTGTTTTGGTGGCCTTTGGCTCTTTCATGGCAATCACTTCTCAAAATGTATGGGAACCAATTAGGAACCTAAAAGACCCGTCCGTCGTCAAAATTGCCGGAATCGCTGTGTTGATACACAATCGTCAAGCCGCCGAAACGTCCCTAAAGCTCGACTCTATTGTCAGTGGGAAAATACAGTATAACCATTCGCAAGATCCAGGAACGATTTTCAACCGAAGATACGACCTCATAATCGTAGCCGTTGACGGCAAAAACATCAAGAAACATTATGAAGTTGTTATAACTGATAAGCCGTTGATTCTTGAGTCGTTTGATGAGGTATTGTAGTATTGAAGTGTTTTGTTTAGGACATATTGTAACTTGTGTTAGTTGTTACTCAATTGTGTTGTGAATTGTAAGCATGGCTTGGAATAAATGTCTGAATTTAGTTTTAAATCTTGATATAAATGTTAAATAAATAAAAGTATGAAATTTGGTAGTATAAAAAATATATTTTTTTTATAATAAAAGTATGATTGTTTAACAGTTAGATAATTTAACAATATCAATCGTGATGAAAGTATTGTGTTTCTTAGTCAGAAAAAAAAAGAGAGAGGCCTTTTTAATAAGAAAAATACGAATACAAAAAAATAATTATTGGGAAAATGTCAGTGTGCGTTGGCTAAAAAAATAAAAACATTGTTTAAATATAAAAATTGAAACAATATAAAAATGATAACATACGAGAATATATTTTGTTTGGGACTTTGAGTGACATTTTAAATTTTTTGTTAAATTTAAGACTTTTTGTGATTTTTTTTACATATAATAGGAATCTTTGGAATCTTATTTGAAGGAGATATTTGGCATAATTTCACATATAGTTTTGAATATGAAATATCAACAAATCTTATAATAAGTCATTGCAACTCCATAGTTAAATAAGTTTAATACCTCGTGATTTTTTAGGACTTTTCAAAAACCTTAAATAAATATTTTAGAACTTGTAAAAATGTTAAAATTTTGAAGTTAAATGACCAAGATTCATAAAATCTCAACAATTTTTTTTTGAGATTTTTTTAATGAATACACCCCTAAATGTGATCTCAATTTAACCTTTAGACCCGCCTTTAAAGGGGTAATTATATAACTACCATATACTAAAAAATAGATTACAAAAAAATATTCTCACACCATTTTTATGAAAATACAAACCACATTTATAAAACTCTAGTAATCAACCCGCGCATTTACACATAGATGAATTCTTGGAAGACGAAAAAATACAGAAAGAAAAATAAAAAATACAAAATCATAATTTAATCAAGAAAATTTATGAATTTAGAAAAAAGAATTTCACATATTATTAAAACTTTTTTATACAACAATCACGGTATCCTTTCGTCAAAATCCTATCACCACATATCATTATCTTCAAATCGTTAGAATTTGTGACTTTGGAAAGAGCCAAGTACAACAGCGCATAACTCATAAGATTCTTCTTATTAATCGTCACAACGTAAGAAATCATAACAAGAAACTATTTGAGCTGAAACTTGAAAGGTACCCTCAAATTCAAATGAAAGATTGTAAGTCCAGGAATAAGAACCTTATCACCAGTTCTGACACCGATTAAAATTCTGCATTCTAGGACATGGCTATTGAGCTTAGTAATAACCAAACAGGCACGGTTGCACAACACCATCGAATGTCGAACTGAATCATATCGAAAAATAAAAATATTCGAATAAAACCAAACCGTATAACATTTTCAACTCTTGTATTTAAAACATCACTGAAATCAAATATCATATTATAATTAAACGATTTTGCTATGAAGCTAACAGTTGGCTCCATAGTGGAGTCAACTTTCTATATACAACAAATAAACCTACCATATTTTTTTTAGTCTTGTCAAGACTCAAGATACACAACCAAATTATGTTAAAAAAATATGGACAAATTGATTAAAGTAAAAATAAAAATAAAAAAATTACGTGATTACAAAAGCATATCCCTATTTCATAAATAAATAAATAAACTAA